CCCCCCCCCAGCTGGGATGGGGAGCAGAACCCTGAAGTCTGGTACCAACAAGTTACAATCAGTCTAGGCACACCTTGTGAGACTAGGGCAGGAATCCACACTATTGGTCCTCAGTCATCAGTTTGCGGCTCCCTAAATCACAAATCAGCCAGCCAGCCAGCCAGCCCTGAAGAATCCCACCCAGGCCGCAGAGCCGAGCAAAAGCTTACTGCTGACTGCCATCTGGTGGTCATTTTGGAAACTGGCCTGGCTCCAAATCTCTCTTAGGGTGGTGGGAAGAATTGAGTGAAGTGTTAGAATAGCACCCAGTACTCAGTGTTCAGTAAAAGTGGTTTGGGGGAGTGTGGTCAAAACAGTGTCCCTTGACTTTACTCCCAACATTTTTTGAAGGAAAAGGAAATATCCTAAATGGAGCTCCCCCTTTTTTTAAACTCTTGGTAAAAGTGCTTCAGAGGACCAAACAGGACATTTGTGTGTGGAGTCAGATGATATAGATTCAAATCCTGCTTTTTCTACTATGTGACCTTGATCACATCACTTAAGAGTCTTAACTCTGTTTCGTCAAACCATAAAATGGAAACATTAGGGTGAAAACTATGCAAGATGGTGAATGTAAAGAGCTCTCAGTAAAAGATGCTTTTCATTAGTTGACAGTAGTGACACACCAGCTTTTGGTGCCAGGGTGTATTGTTTTAAAATAATAGTTCTCAACTGGGGGCAATTTTGCCCCCTAGGGAACAACTGGCAATGAGATATTTTTGGTTGTCACAAGGATGGCGGGATCTAGTGGCATCTAGTGGGCAGAGGCCAGGGGTGCTACTAAACATCTTACAGTACATAGGGCAGCCCTTTACAAGACAAACTATTCAGTCCAAAATGTTCTTAAAGTGAGAAATTCTCGAGCTTTCTTACTATTTTCTGAAAAGTATGAGGGAAGCAGGGTGATGCCTGACGCTGGAAGGGGTTCTTTTGATGGCTCATGCGGGAGTAACACAAGGCTTTGTATTACTGTGCTCTCCAATGTGGTAGCTAGGAGCTAGCCAAATGTGGCTACTGAAATAAAAATAAATTAAGAGGTTGAAAATCCTGGGTAGTAAGAGCCACATTCCAAGTGCTCAGCAGCCACATGTAGCTGGTGGACAGCACAGAGACAGAACATTTCTACCAGCACAGAAAGTTCTATCAGATAGCACTGCGCTACAAGGACTCAGCAGAACCAGGCATGTGTGGGCAATCCACGAGAGAAAAACTAGAAACCAAGGGCATGCAGAGAGGAGGGGGCCATGAGAGACAATGGCATGCGATAAGCAAGCACGAAGGTAGTATATAATTCAATGCTAAGCAAGTCACAAACACACGCGCAGTAATCGATCCATGCAAACTTCCCTCCCCCAAGAATCACTCTTAAATGCACAAAACTCAACAACCCCAAAAAGGCACACAGAAGCAACAAAAGTAGGCGGGGAAGGGGAGCTCCACTGTTGGGGAGCACTGTCCCCCTCTCTCTCTCTCTCTTCCCTGCCACAGTTCAGTTTAACTTGCGGTACATCATTGCTGGCCCGACGTGTGTCCAAGAGTCGAGAGTAGTGATGGAGGAGAGCCTGCGGCGGCTTATCTTGCTTAAAGTCTTGGGGTCCATATAAATGTTGTACGTATACTTGACGATAAAGGGCAGAGAGAAGAAGTACAGGAGCATGAGAGAGACTTGGAAGAACAAGTGTGGGTAACCTATCTCCCTGAACTGGTATTTCAAGGCTCTGTTGATGAGCAGGACCATGGAGAAGTTGATGAGCTCATAGAGGACGATCCACAGGGCATAGGACAGCAAGCCCGCGCAGATGCTCGCGTGGATGCTGTAGAGCAGCAAGGTGCTGGCCATGACGGTGATGGTGGACAGGCAGATGCTGATGCTTTTTTTGTGTATCAAGATCCAAGAGGTTAGCCCAGACTTCGAGTCCACGTAGATAGAGAACTTATCCTCGTAGCCTAGTAATGTAAGCTCATTCAAGTCGAAGATGAGGAGCTGAATGGTGTTAAGGATAGAGAAGATGCCCACCAAAACAGACAGCATCCTGTTATCCATCTCCTGTTGTTCTACCCGAGCTTCTCCTGCAGGAAAAACCACGGGAGATCCATGACAAGGTGGCAGAGCCAGCCCTAGGCAAATTCCCCAAGCCGCTGGAGGTCAATGTGGGAGCTCAGAGTGACATTGGTATGCGGACAGGCCATGGGCAGCATGGGGAAAGGGAGTCTGGTCCTTGCTCTGACCTAACTAGCTATAGGTGACCATATCCCTGGGAATGGGGGCATCCTTGGCTTGGGATGCTCCCTAGGAAGCTTCCAGCTCTGCTGCTCCAGCTGCTGCTCTGCTTTATGGTGATAAAAAGGGTGTTCTTGTCGGTGTCAGGCTTGTGGGAACTAGGAAGTTCCTGTGTCTGGAATAATAATAGAGTCCATTCTGGGCTCCTCTCTGGGATGTTTGTTTCTCTGAGGTCAGAAAACGCTTGGTTCCTCGAGGGCCTGGGATGATCCCTGACCTTCCCCCAGACGCTCTGTCTTTCCTCCAAGCCTTCAGGAATGGAATTTCCCTGCTTTGCTCCCCGAGTCTGACCCAGACTTGTTCCAAGTCCAGGTTCAGCCGGCAGTGAGTGGAATCGGGGAAGGTTTATGGATCCGACTTACTATCTTCTCTGCCCAGGGTGAAGGTGCCTCAACAATAAGCCACCATCGTGGAGGTGAATGCCCAGCAGGCAGACCTCCTGCTGCAATCGAGGCTGGACCTGAACCTGAACCCTAGAGGCCCGCTCCAGCCTCAGGGAGAGGCCCAGAGACCCAGTGGACCCCCTGAGGGCATGTTGATTGCGGAGGACCCAAGGCTGGAATAGGCTGGGCCGGTTTAAACGTCCCTCCCAGCCCAGATCACCTTCTTACCGGCTCCCAGTTCAGAGAATTCCAGAGCAAAGCTCCCTCCTCTTCACTCCTCACCCTGTGAGCCGGCACTGCGGGGAGAGGGAAGGGGAACGGTCACACATGACAGGAGCACGTGCAGTCCTCGGGCTGACGTGTGTCCGATGTTTGTGGCCTCCTGAGCAGACTGGGACAGGGCTCCTGCTCAGTCCTGTCGAGCACAGACAGGTTGCCATAAGCCTCCCTCCAGCCTTCTCCTCACTCTATCAACCTCAAATAAGCTTTTCTTCTCTTTTTCTTGGTCAGTAGCATTTTTTTTTATTGTGATAAAACATACATAACAAATTTTACCGTTTCACCGTTTTTGCATGTACAATGCAATGGCATTACATACATTCACGTTGTTGTGCAAGCCTTACCATCACCCATCTCCAGACTTTTTCATGTTCCTCAAGAATACCTTGTCATCAAACACCAACCCCCAGCCCCGTTAACCACCATTCCACTTTTTCTCTCTGAATTTTACTATGCTAAGCACCTCATGCAAGTGGAATCACACCGTCTTTGTCCTCTTGTGTCCGGCTTTTTCACTTCGCGTAACGTTGTCAAGGCTCATCCCAAGTATTCTCACACACTATTTCCTGCTACCCTCCCACCCTGTGTGACTCCAAAGAGTAGTCCTCGAGGCACGAACCTCTCGCTGCACCCCAGGCCCCGAAGGGTCCCCGTGGGGTGGGAGAGGCAGTGTGCTTGCCAGTCAATAGCTGCATTGATACTTCCCTGTCCCCACCAACTAAAGAGCACCCCATTCCTGCTCACAAAGCAGCTTCCAGAGCAGCCACTATCCACAGGGTGTTCTTCTGCACCAACCCAAATAGGGCCCCAAACCACCCAGGCTCAATGTTGTGGTTTAAGCCTGTGTTGCAGATTTCAAGGCTATGTCTTTATCAATCCCATTATTTTCGCATCCCTGCTGCCCAGCCTTGGTTTTGGCCCTGTCACCTCCCTCCTGAATCGCCACCCCAATAACCACCTAACTTCTCTTTCTGTCTCCTGTCGCCTTCCTCTGGACGTTCACTCAGCCGTCATTCATCAGGCATCTATCGAGCACCTACTACGTGCCGGGTACCGAGCTTGGTACTGGATATATAAAGTAAATATTCTGGGGAGGAAGCTAGACAAATAAAATGTTACAAAAATTTAAGGACAACAAAACGTACCCTGCAATGTGATAAATGCTGCGGAAGAGGTGGTTCAGTGTCCTCAAGATGCAACAAGGCCTAACCCCGAATGAGAAGCAGGAGAGGCTTTTCTGGGGGAGGCAACCGTGAGCTTGTGTCTTAAAGGATGTGGGTAGGAACTGGGTAGAAAGGGAGGAACCTCATCCCCAGCAAAGTGGACAACATCCATGCAGGCTCAGAATCAGCAAAGCCATTTTGGAAACTGCAGGTTTGGTGTCACTTGAGCAGAGGGGTAGGCTGCAGGGGTGTGCAGGGGCCAGAGAAAGGAAGGGGCCTTACTTGCCACCTGCCATGTGGAAGTTTCTCTGGAAGGCAACAGGGAGACCTGGGTGGGTCTTGAGCGTGTGTGTGTATGAGAGACAGGATCTGATTTGCATTTTAGAAAACTACTTCTTGCTGCTGAGGGGACCATGGGTCAGAAGGGGGCAAGAGTGGAGGCAGGTGAACAGTTGAGAGGCTGGTGAAGAAAATGGGGTGAAGCGAGTTAACACAGGGACTTTGCATTTGGGGAACAGGGCTGTGAGAGGAAGCATCTGGGATGAACACTGAGGTGGAGAGCATGAAGGCAGGAGCACACTCAGTGTGGGGGTGGGGAAGGTGAGGAGGACGACATCTTGGGAAACGGTGGGTCTGCATTCCCTAGGGACAAATAGACAGGTCTCCTATGAAACCACCTCCGTCAGCTTAGAACGCAGAGGGAATCTGAGCCTTTGCTGGGTATAGGATTCTTGGTTAACAGTGGGTTTTTGAAAGCACTTTAAATATGTTATCCTGCCATCTGGCTTCCATTGTTTTTGCTGAGAAATCACCTGTTAATCTTATTGGGATTTCCTCATAAGCGACCAGTCTTTCCTTTTCCCTTCCCTTCCCTTCCCTTCCCTTCCCTTCCCTTCCCTTCCCTTCCCTTCCCTTCCCTTCCCTTCCCTTCCCTTCCCTTCCCTTCCCTTCCCTTCCCTTCCCTTCCCTTCCCTTCCCTTCCCTTCCCTTCCCTTCCCTTCCCTTCCCTTCCCTTCCCTTCCCTTCCCTTCCCTTCCCTTCCCTTCCCTTCCCTTCCCTTCCCTTCCCTTCCCTTCCCTTCCCTTCCCTTCCCTTCCCTTCCCTTCNTCCCTTCCCTTCCCTTCCCGTCCCTTCCCTTCCCTTCCCTTCCCTTCCCTTCCCTTCCCTTCCCTTTCCTCTTTCTTTCTTCCTTTTTCTTTTTCTTCCTCTTTCTTTATTTCTTTCTTTTTCTTCTTCTTCTTTTTTAAAATATCTTTATTGATTTCAGAGAGAGGAAGGGAGAGGGAGAGAGATAGAAACATCAATGATGAGAGAATCATTGATCAGCCTCCTGCACACCCCTGACTGGGGATCAAGCCCGCAACCCGGGCATGTGCCCTGACCAGGAAACAGACCTCGATCTCCTGAATCATAGGTCGATGCTCAACCACTGAGCAACACCAGCAGGGCATCTTTTGCTGCTTTCAACATTCACTTTTCTTCTTGTCTTTGACTTGAGTAGTTTTACTATGCAGTGTCTGTGGAGCTTTTGTATTTATCCTAGTTGGAGTTTTTTTAAGCTTACTGGATATAGAGTTTTCAATAAATTTGGGAAGTTTTCAGCCATTATGTCTTCAAATATTTATTTTTTCTGTTCCTTTCTCTCCTCTCCTTCCAATACTACCATTATGCATATTTTGGTTGCTATGCCTTATAACGTCCCACATTTCTCTGAGACTCTGCTTATTTTGCTTCATCTTTATTCTCTGTTCTTTAGATTGCATAATCTCTGACATCTACCTTCAAGTTTACTAATTCTTTCTCCTGCCAGTTTAAATCTACTGTTGAGCCTCTCTAGTGCAGCCTTCATTTCAGTTATTCTACTTTTCTTTTTTTAATCCTCACCCAAGGATATTTTTCCATTGCTTTTCAGAGAGAGCAGAAGGGGGGGGGGGAGAGAGACATCGATTGGTTGCCTCCTGCAC